ACTACGAAAATAACTTTGTCTACAACTTCTCCTACATCGTCAATCAGTTAATGTATTCAAGAAAAATAGGCTTACGTCTTTAAGCTTCCTATTTTTCACATAAAAATCTCAAGAATGAGAAACCATGTCAGTTAAATGCGGACAGAGTCACATTGGTTGCTGGCGTTTTAACGTTAATTATTCACCTAGTCCATAATGTGCTGCAGCTTATGGATAATAAGTCGGTGTTTTCACGTCTCCAGAGATTTGGATTTAAACTTTATCCCTGTCGAGTTTTTCTAAACACATGGTCAGGGAAAGATAATTTCTACACATCCAATCTACATTACAGTACACTTCCTTTGGAGGGATGTCCCCGGAGACTTGTATTAGTCGCGAGTTGGAGAAAGCTGTCACAACGGAGGGCGCAGTTCAAGCCACGCACGATACATACAGTTTGTATCTAATATCCGTGTAACTACCCATACATCAAAGGATAGAGAGTAAGGTTATTAAGATGGATATTATATAAGAGTGCTCCGTGGCATCGTTCTATTCTCGTTGCACGCCGCTACACCCTTTCGAATAGACTAAAATGCTACTGCAACCACTATCCCAGGCTTGGATCGCATATGCAGGGTGCTTGGTGCTGTACAATATTAAATCTGTAGATGTAGCCACCTTACAGCATTGTGCAGAAGGTGCCCGGTTTTCTGTCGTCTACATGCCAAAATCTTTATGTATCTCTCTTTCTCGGAGTGGCGTTTTGATCAGATAGTAGGGTCGCCTAGTAGGGACTAGACCTCGATTTCCCGAACGCAGCAGAGTAATGTGTTCTAATTAAGGAACGGGAGCCATCTGCAGAACTACTCCTTTAATCGACGAAGATTTTTTCTGGGATTTGGCTTCATAGACATTGTTGTTGATGGCTGCCCATAGTTTCATATCATCCGCAAATATGATACACTCGCACTCAAATTTCAGTACAAAATCGTTAAAGAACAAGAGAAGGAGAGTTGGTCCAAGCATTGCAACTTCCGGGACTCCACTCTCTACGACTGTGTGTCTTGTCGTTGTCATTCAACACAGAAAAAGTTGGAACAAACAAGGAAGACTTTTTGATCCACGTGTCATTTACTGTCACTGCAGACCGGGTATATATTCACTCAGGAATGTGCGAACACTGATCTAATTTAGCGCCCAATGTCACCGCTGCCTCACGCGTCCCTGGCTAGCTAATAGACCCCACGAGCCGACAGAGAGTGCAGCATTTTATCAGCCAAGCATGGATCCATACGCCGAATTATCGCAGGTCTGGGGCTGAAGCAGCCTTCAACCTACCCTTTCATCGGTCCGCGCCACTATCGTTGTGCCCGTAGAGCCCAATTCATGACCAGATGTTCAACTATCTGTCCGTCGTCGACAGTGCTAATCGTAACACAAGCATTTAAACCACCCACCGAAAAACCTACAAAGGCCTGAGAGAGCGAGCAGGAAATCGATAAGTATAAGATCGACGACCAGGTTATGGCTTCTGGTTCTGTTCGATTGACTGCAGTTAAAGCATAGACAATGGTGAGCCTACCAAGTTCTCTGAAGGATCAAGCTATTAATCAATCTCTCCCAGTGAGCTCGCTTATTTCCCCAATGATAAACCCGGATCTCTCAGCTTTGCCAATCTAAGTTAACCCGATTCGTAAATT